ATTTAGGGCTTTAGCATTAATTTTGCAGAAAGGACTGGGCGGTAAAGGAAAATATATAGTTCAGGGACTGTGGGACGATTAACGATTTGGGGAACTGTACAAAATATTATGGATGTCAACTGTTTCTTTATTGTTTGCATACACAAAGTTTCTGGCCTTTTCCTTGCCCCTTCGTCGTTTTATATACGGACATACTTTAAATATTGTGAAATTGACAGTGACCCGAGTAGGCCGAATAAACTGGCATAAAGAGAAATAACTGCATGAATGATAAAGCTGGGCTTTATCTCTCAGGTTTCCTACAAAGGATTAAAAGGTGTTGTGACACGGGCCATCCACATGGGACATGACCTCTGCGAGTCATTGGTCATGCGGCTTCGGCCACTGTCGAACACTCCGCAAAGCCGCCTTAGAGCCGTCTTTGACACATTCGGTGCACATCTAGAGATTCCCAGCCCTACACTACAGCCTGTCAACCAGGTCAGCTAATATCGTCAATGATTAATCACCCGATGGTACTAATATCGGATGGCACTGATATTAATCAAGGGAATAAAAAGACTTATTCACCAATCATAACAGAGATCTATCAAAAAGGCATTATAAATATATATACACCGGCGTCGTAAGCTGATAATGATCACGTTTCCAGATTAAGGTGATGATGATTGGTGTTCGTGATGAAGAGCGGCTCTGACAGGTCTCATCCCAATATGTCAACTAACTGGTCGCCATAAAAATGTAATATGATCTGATTTTTTTAGCACTTGAGGTAATAAATCATTGACGAGCCACGACAAGGCGGTATATGATTCCGTTCATCGGTGTTTTGTATTGAGGTATATCACCGTGTTTAGGAGATTTATGGGGGATTACCGCTCATCACTGTATTGACAGTATATGAATAATTTATGAATGAAAAGAAGACAAATCTTTTGTTGACCTGTTACACAATGAGACATAAAATAAAACCATATGGAAATGTTAGATAAACGGTGTCTCGCCTGAAGGTTTCAAATTCATCGTTAAGCTATATGTAATATCGATCCGTACTATACTGAATTAATTGTATTTTGTGTAACATTGTAATATGGTAATTGTTAGATTGAGGAACCTTTTAATTAATACGATGTCTAAACGGCCGAGAATTTAAAGTGGAATAGTTCTTGCAGGACGGTAAGCGTTTGGATAAGGCTTGTCCGTTGAAGGGAAGCCACCGGGTGGAGTGGGGGTGGGTAGCCAGGAATGGGGTGGTATTGAAGGATGGTGAGTGAGTGAGTTTAGTTTTACGCCGCACTCAGCAATATCCCAGCTATATGGCGGCAGTCTGTAAATAATCGAGTCTGGACCAGACAATCCAGTGATCAACGGCATCAGCATCGATCTGCGCAAGTGGGAACCGATGACATGTGTCAACCAAGCCAGCGAGCCTGACCACCCGATCCCGTTAGTCGCCTCTTACGACAAGCATGGGTTACTGAAGGCTCATTCTAACCCGGACCCTCACGGGTTGCTAGGATGGTAAGGGGTATAGGTGTAAGTGGGGTGGTTGTGTAAAAGGGGTACGAATCGAAGTGAGGGTAGGGGCGAATGTGGCATGGCATTCTGGTGAATCAACCTTTCGTGGGCTCACCTTTTGAAAATCCTTAACATTTAGAAGCAACCTTCTCTTGGAAATATTGCAACCTCCTCCTTTCGTAAGCTAACACTTGAAGCGTAACAAATGGTAAATTAAGGATTACGCTTTCTCTGTAGGGTAAGAATTATGGCCCTTTGGGGGTTGGGTCCTATCGGCTTACACAAGGTACGTGATCTAGATCCCGGATATCGGACTAAAAGTCTCAGTAGCTGAGTGTGTTAGATCGTTGACTTTGTGCACTGGCGATCAGGTTCCTCATTCTGAGAATGGGACAAAATTGTACATGAAACCCTACTTTACTCAGTGTGTAATCGAAGTGTAATCGAATTTCTTACATTTGAACATTTTCTGAAAGGCGTTGGGTGTTCATCGTATTTGAGGCACTTTCGATAATCTCAACTGCAGAAGCTTTACTTTTGATAATCTCACTCACAGAGGCTTTGCCTTTGATAATTTCAACCGCAGAGGCATTGCGTTTTATAATCTGAACCACAAAGGCTTTGTCTTTGATTTTCTCAACCACAGAAGCTTTGTCTTTAATAATCTCAACCACAGAAGCTTTGCTTTTGATTTTCTCAACCACAGAGACTTTGCCTTTGATAATCTCAACCACAGAAGCTTTGTCTTATAAAAATCTCAACGACAGAGGCTTTGCCTTTGATAATCTCAACCACAGAAGCTTTGTCTTTAACAATCTCAACGACGGAGGCTTTGCCTTTGATAATCTCAACCACAGAAGCTTTGTCTTTAACAATCTCAACGACGGAGGCTTTGCCTTTGATAATCTCAACCACAGAAGCTTTGTCTTTAACAATCTCAACGACGGAGGCTTTGCCTTTGATAATCTCAACCACAGAAGCTTTGTCTTTAACAATCTCAACGACGGAGGCTTTGCCTTTGATAATCTCAACCACAGAAGCTTTGTCTTTAACAATCTCAACGACGGAGGCTTTGCCTTTGATAATCTCAACCACAGAAGCTTTGTCTTTAACAATCTCAACGACGGAGGCTTTGCCTTTGATAATCTCAACCACAGAAGCTTTGTCTTTAACAATCTCAACGACGGAGGCTTTGCCTTTGATAATCTCAACCACAGAACCTTCAGTTGTGATAATCTCAACTGCAGAGCCCTTCTCAAATTGTGAGAAGCACAACCTTTGGTAACCTTGGTAACCTCAGAGAACCTTTAAGTTTTGGGAATCTTAACTAAGGAAACCCAGGAAAACCTATGACCCTCACTGAAATACAACATGACTGTATACAATCCATTAAGTTTCCTTTTCCCTTATATCCGGACACCTATTTACCCGGAACCTATCGTTTTAACGTTATAGTCCAGATTAGCCAGGTTCCACTGCTAATGTAATGAACGTTTTGTGTTTGAAAGACTTCAAAGCATGTACAAAAAGGTTGGTTAATGTGAATAACAATTGACGATGGAAGTGAGGTTGACAATACCGTTGTAGACGATCAGGATCGCTATCGATTCTTTGTCGATAGTTTTGTTTTCGTTTGATGTGACTAAGAGAGACGGTGAAAATAGCAGTCAACCGGAGAGTGTTTTATACGCGATAGATTCCATCATCATCGGCAAGCATTACGATGGTGTTTTCATTCAGCATTACCATGGCAACGGTATATACAGGAGAGGCGCGGAAAGTGAGAGGAAGGAGCGCTGTGAGAGAGAGAGAGAGTGAGTGAGTGAGTGAGTGAGTTTTAGTTGTACGCCGCTTTTAGCAATATTCCAGCAATATCATGGCGGGGGACACCAGAAATGGACTTAACATATTGTGCCCATGTGGGGAATCGAACCCGGAGAGAGAGAGAGAGAGAGAGAGAGAGAGAGAGAGAGAGAGAGAGAGAGAGAGAGAGAGAGAGAGAGAGAGAGAGAGAGAGAGAGAGAGAGAGAGAGAGAGAGAGAGAGAGAGAGAGAGAGAGAGAGAGAGAGAGAGAGAGAGAGAGAGAGAGAGAGAGAGACGGAGAGAGACAGATGGAAGGGATAGAGATGATATTCGGCAGGGTGGGACAGTGACTGACAAAGATACCCGATTACACAATCACCTATCAATATGTATATAAGTCCAAAATGGCGTCATGGTTAAGGAAGCCTCTGACATTGCCCATCAGTACTACCACCAGACCTGAACATGTATACACACAAACTAGCGTCACCTTGATCGTATCCATTTCTGATCAGATCGACACGGCTTCAAAGGCTTTATTCACCAGTAATGATGAAAGGTTATATGCAGTATAAACAACATCATTATCATTTGTAGACATTATTTGTCGACATGCTGCCCACGATAACACATCAGATCTATTTTCGTTATAACAAGCCTTGGTCTAGCATGTCTATTCTTGTTATAAAAAACATGATACCACAATCTGAGAGTATTACAGGCCTTTTCATGAGCCCAAGACATCATACTAACTGAAAATAGTGTCAAACAAAATCAGTACTGGGGAGGCTACGATTTGAAATTTTTCAGCTGCCTCCTCCTGGACTATTATAACACCCCCGTCTTTTGCAACTACACCTTGCCATGACATAACAGGGACAATCCCTCGTGTAACCACGCCTTACTTTTTTTTATAATTTTAACGAAAGAATCAAATGCGACACCTTTTTGGTATTTTTAATTGTTGGGATTGACTTTTTTAAATGGTGTGACATACATTTCGTCAAGATGCTCCATTGTTATTTGCCTTTTCTCGTGCTGACACGGTCCCTTGTGCTTTTTATGTCGCCTGATAGTTCATCATTACGTGGATTCCAGGTTGTATTTCCGTGATTGTGTGAAAATACGAAATGTCAACGCAACCTATAATTAGTCACCAATCTCATTGAGATTGAAGATATGTCTGTGTGGAAATGTCACAGTCGGAAATACAGTGAATTCCATAGCTGACAAATGCTATCAAATTGTACACACGTAAGAGTGTAATCCGATGGTGGATTATACTTTAGGGCGAGGAAGTGAATGGTGATGGTGGTGGGAGTTAAATTAACGGCCCACTCGTGTTTTATCTGTACATCTCACCCATCATGTCAGTTTGGATATCTCCTCTCCTCTCTCTCTCTTCTCTCTTTCTCTCTCTCTCTCTCTCTCTCTCTCTCTCTCTCTCACTCACACACACACTCACACACACACACACACACACACACACACACACACACACACACACACACACACACAAACACCAGTCCCCAACATCCAAGTTGCGTAGATCGATGCTCATGCTGTTGATCACTGGATTTTCTGGCCCAGACTCGATCATTTACAGACCGCCGTCATATAGCTGGAACATTGATGAGTGTGTGACGTAAACAACAAACAAACACATTTCGTTAGTGTTATTAGCAGCAGTTGTGGCAGTAGCAGGGGCAGTAGCAGAGGCAGTAGCAGGGGCAGTAGGAGGGGCAGTAGCAGGGGCAGTAGCAGGGGCAGTAGCAGGGGCAGTAGCAGGGGCAGTAGCAGGGGCAGTAGCAGGGGCAGTAGCAGGGGGGGGGCAGTAGCAGGGGCAGTAGCAGCAGGGGCAGTAGCAGGGGCAGTAGCAGGGCAGTAGCAGGGGCATTAGGAGCAGGGCAGCAGGGCAGGGGCAGTAGGGCAGTAGCAGGGGCAGTAGCAGGGGGCAGTAGCAGGGGGCAGTAGCAGGGCAGTAGCATGGGCAGTAGCAGGGGGGGGCAGTGGGCAGGCAGGGCAGCAGCATGAGGCAGCATGGGCAGCAGCGGAGGCAGTAGCAGAGGCAGCAGAGGCAGCAGGGGCAGCATGGGCAGCAGCAGGGGTAGGCAGGGCAGTAGCAGGGGCAGTAGCAGGGGCAGTAACGGGGGCAGTAGCAGAGGCAGTAGCAGGGGAAGTAGAAGAGGCAGGAGTAGTACATCAGTAGTAGCAGTGAACGTATTGATAGTATAAGTAGCCCCAGAGATGTAGCCGGTATAGAGGTAGTAGTAATGGTAGTAGTGGTAGTGTTGTAGTAACCACAGCAGTATCAGTAGAAATAGTAAATAATATATATATAGATCTATAGTAATTTAGAAGAGGTCATTCCAATTGAATAAATTTATTAAAAATCTAAAAACTCCCAACCCCACCCAAGATCCCTAATAATGCCGTGCAGTAAAATGCACTTTAGCCCCGATATACAGGAACCCTCGTTATAACGAAACTCCTCTATCTCGGGACTTACTAGAACGACTACTACTATCTCTACAACGATTAGCTAATAAGGACATTTGTCATGCTGTACTATAATTCCCTTGGTATGGTGACGTCCATATTATCATGGTTTTACAGTACGAACCCCTTTAGCCCGGAGTCTTCGTTTACCGAACGATTATCTATATCTGTTCATACACACTTGGAAATACGAAATGGCACTTGAAAATATTGAAATAATTTTGTTTTTACAATTAATTACCACAACTAGTAATGTTATCTATACTATAGAATAAAATAAACAGTGTATTAAGAACAGATAGGATCTAACATGGTTTCATTATAAACTAAACTACCATATCATATTGAAAAGATTATTGACGAAATTTCTCACGAAAATAATGAAATGATATGCTTCTTACTATTACTTACTACACCTATCAATGTTTTCTATACTATAGAATTTACTAAATAGTATATTAGGAATAGGGAGGATCTAACCCGATTTCATTAATCAAACCAGATTAAGATTTTTCAAGGATTTTATATATATATAATATTTATGAAAATCCATTTTCAGACATCGGATGAATTTAAAGTCTCTTCGCAACTTTCGGGTATTTTTGTCTCCATTCGTGCATGAGAAAATGCACAAAAGGAGTGGACTTCAAGCATGGGAAATTCCATGGTTCAGTACAATCAACAATACGGATTGTATTGACAATCCTATCTATTGAAACAATTCTTCAGGAAATGATGCAAACTGGTGTATTGGTGACGCATCATCACGTGATACACGGGCACAACGTGGGTTTGTACAGCTGGATATATTTTTACACGCGCCACGTGGGTTGGTACAAAGGCTGACGTGTTTCTATTTATAGACCAGAATAATGCATGCGGGGCATTTCCGAAATCCTAAAAATAGCATGACATGTCTGACACGATAACTGTGACATGCGATCTGTGAAATATTTCATCATGACCCAACTAGGTGCGTCTCGTGAGGTGAAAATGTCGCACTTAGGGGTTGTGTCATGATAAGCAGCAAAAATAGATATATGAATATCAATACATATTATATTATATTATCAATGTATAGAAGCATAGACCATATAACAGATAATCTATTCTATGGTCTTTGATAGAAGGGCGGCCCGCCTGATAACCGGTAGAATATGGCCGCGGTAATTGTGTACTTGTACAATTGATATTCACGTCTCACATGTAGAACATACTTCAACCAACAGTAAAATGTACTTTTAAAGAACAGAGCTCTAGAGGTAATCCTACATGGCATATTTCGACTTTCGTACACCAATCGTACACCAACAACACATCAGTCGTACACCAATTGTACACCAGTCGAACACCGATAGTATTAGTCTGTCTCACGGTCTCTGAACCACATTATTTTCCCTACTGCCTAGCTCTCCCTGCAATGCTAAAGCCCTAGAAGTAAGTCTAGATTTCCTCAGAAGCTCCCTCCTCACTGGGGCTCCTTTTCAATTTAAATGAGTTTGGTAGTTACTATCAAAGTTATATCATATCCAGAGACTAAGCGTTAGTCTACAATGGTATATCAATAGTACATCAGCCTTAGATGAGTCATATTCCAGTTCCACAGAAAGGCTCTTGGCGGGACATGCTCGGGGTCACATTTCAGTGTTCTGTGACCGACGAGCCTGCGAATGAGACTGCGAATCTCGAGAGAAAGAATTTTATATGTGCTGATCATGACTGACTGATTTGGTTTTACGCCGCTTTTAGCAATATTCAAGCAACATCACGGCGGGGACACCAGAAATGGGCTTCACACATTGTACCCTAGACTAATGCTTAGTCTCTGAATATATATAATTTTGATAGTAACATACAAGCCCATTTAAATTGAAAAGGAGCCCCAGGGAGACCAGAGATTCAGAACCTGAGGAAATCTAGACTTGCTTTATTTAGGGCTTTAGCACTGCAGAGAGGGCTTGGCAGTAGGGAAAATAATGTGGTTCAGGGACTGTGAGACAGACTAATTGTACCCATGTGGGGATACGAACCCGGGTCTTCGGCGTGACGAGCGGACGCTTTAACCACTAGGCTACCCCACCGCCAACCTGAATTAGATGATTGGTGTGTCAGCACCACTCGACGTTCGTAGGTGTTACCTCGATGTCAAACACCTGCTTCAACCCAGGCTAACGCATTCCTCCCCAATAACCTACCACACCCTGAAACACAGGGTGAAGATCAGGGTTAGAATTCAGTAACCCATGCTTGTCGTAAAAGGCGACTATCGGGATCGGGTGGTCAGTCTCGCTGACATGTTGACACGTCATCATATCCCGATTGCGTAGATCGATGCTCATGCTATTGATCACTGAATTGTTTGGTCCAGGCTCCATTTACAGACCGCCGCCATATAGCTGGAATATTGTTGAGTGCAGTGTTAAACAATAAATCAACTAACCAATCATACGGTAATAAACGCAGATCACTCGGTCAGTCAAAACTGAGAGTCACGTTAAGCTTATAAGAGAGAGTGTGAATGAAGTTTTACGCCGCGTTTTCTTTGTTCCAACAATATCACGGCTAGGAACTAGCTTGTGTTTGAAAAACAACAACAAGCGGACGCTTTAACCACTAGACTATAGACGACGCTTAACGCCTGGGATTAATTTTACTCATCAATTTGATAAATTAATAGCATAAACTACAGACACATGTCAGTCCAAGTTTTGTTCGAGTTATGCCACAACGGCAAAACAGCAGTAGGCGTTTTCTCTAATTCAATCAGTCTAGACCTTTACTGTGTGAATGTTCAGCCTGTGTCGCCTTATTAATGATAAACTTGTGAAGGATTCTTTTGAAATTTATTGAATTAACCAATAAGCAGTTCATTTGCATGGAAATCCCTTTTGTAAAAATACAAAAGTTGAAATAGATTTGATTACAACAGATATCACGGACGTTTGAGTCAAGCCCTGGCCCGTTATAATTTGCATAATTACTTGATGACATAGATACTCAGTGGTATTAGTGTTCTAACGCCACTGTTTACTAGACTACCGAGGGTAATCAATAACATTAATGGTTGTCAATTGTCTTGTTATCAAATCATGGTTTTGCTATCAACGTGTCAAATATTTAACATTCAATGTATATTCATCAATAAAAAAGGCTACAGTTACCATGTCATTACACTAATACGATATGTAATCCAATCTGTGTGATATTTCAAAACCCATTTAAATAAAAGATCCGACTTCATTGGGGTTTAATGAGAATGTTTCGTTCGGTTAATATGTAGATTTATTGTGACAGTTAATCTATATTATAAGAGTACATCGAATTATCCTACCGCCATGTTTGTCATTTGCCACAGTTTGAATACAAACGTAGATTTGTCTTGATGGAAGCTGTCGCCAGGTGACATAAACCTTCCTGTATATTTTGTTTTTGAGTTTCGAAGCAATCATCAATATTCCACCTAAAGGGGGTTGGGGTAGCCTAGTGGTTACAGCGTTCGCTCGTCACGCTGAATATCCAGGTTTGATTCCCCACATGGGTACAATGTGTGAAGCCCATTTCTGGTTGTGCCCCCGTGATATTGCCGATATGTTGCTTGTGAAAATTGTTAAAATTGTTCTTTTTTAGCGAGTGTAGCAAATTCTTGATCATGATTTAAGCATTGTTTGTAGAAGTGATTCAGTATCTTGGCTATACTTTGTTCAGGATTTTACATGGTGTTGCTCATCATTTAAGACGTCATTACTATTCATATTATTAGTTATATTATTTTCATCGCCGTCTTCTTCCTCTTCTTCGTTATTATTATAATGATACCAGCAACTGACACAAGCACTCACCGGACCACCTTAACGACTACAACGAAGCCCTGCGACGACTACAACACACCATACCGTTTTCCAAAATCGCAAAACGAAAACGAAAGTGGTGACCCTTACGTACTCAATATTAGTTTTCCACATCGCACAAACGAAATGAGGCCTTTCCGAGTAGGGCTGAAAATATGTTCAAACCACGTTCTTATCAAGGCCACCATGGCGACAAAACACATGGCCTCCAGTTCTTTGATCTAACAACATTTACCCGTACCGTCACTAATTGAGAGCTCAAGTCAAGACCTATCCACCATATGGCTTGTAGCAATAAGCACGCGCAACACGACCGCCAGACCACGTGCTGCGCATGCTCAATGAGGCATGACCTCTGCCTGTGTCCCGGAACGTTTGACCACTGCTTGACCGCAAACGGTTTAACTGCTGTGTCCATTAACATGAACCGCTATAAATTGTTTATTGTCTTTTAAAAAAATGTTTGTAGCGACATCGTTTGAAGTTAATTGAAAATTACCATGTTTTTGTTGACAACTGTATTTTGGACTCAATCAAGGGAACTTCGTTGACACCGTCCCAATTATGACAATGAGCTGTTGTCCCGATATTAGAAGCCAGAAATTTCGATGTTGTGGTCATGAGTCAGTAACTATTGTCACTCTTGGAATTTCAGTGTTACAATAATAATTCGACAACGTACTAAATCCTGGGAAACACTTAAGAAAAATACCATGTTTTCCAAATCGGAAGATGAGTTAATAGTT